TAAGATAACAAATGTTTTGTTTTAAGCCACTAAGTGTGTGGCAATTTGTTATAGCAGCAATGCAAAACAAATATGCATACTATGTATATTTTTTTCTCTCAGGGCTTTCTCTCTCAGCATAATGTCAGTGAGATTCATCCATTTCCTTGAGTATATCCATAATTCATTTCATTTTATTGCGGCATAGTATTCTATGAACATACCCAAATTAGTTTTTCCATTCTCCTATTGATGAATTTTTGATTATTTCCAGTTTCAGACTACTATGATAAAGCTGCTATGAACAGTTTCATATAGTCTTTTGTGGGGGATAATGAGCATTCATTTAAGGGAATGGTTACAAATATTGAGTTTGCATGGTCCTTAAACTAAACAGTATCAGCAAGACCACATTCTCATCTCCAGAAGGGTAGTCAATGCCCAGATGTCCCTGAAAAATATCTTAGCCATGAGCATCCCAGTGTTACAGAAAGCCTGTCTCCTGGCAAAAATCCAACAAAGTCCGGTTAAAGAAGCCAGAACAATTCAATATATAACTAAATTTTAAAATAAATTAATAATTCTGCTGGGAGTGGAGCCAGAACAGAAAATTAAAATGCCAGTAGCAACACCACTAAAAGTAAAGGAAGGTCAATTAAAATGTATCCATGTATTCATTTCAGAGGGAAAATTATTGAGGATCCACTCAGGCTAGCCCGAGATATAAAGACCCTGCTGACAACCTAGCGGGGAGATGGACAGATAAGCATACCTTTACAATGTGGTATTTTTAAGTGCTATAATCATGCCCTTGACTGGCTGTCATGGAAGCAAAGATGAAATACCCTTGAGGCCAGCTGGTGGGTGTGGACCCAGCAAGTCTATGGGAGAATGGAGCGTCCTAGTTCATGAGAACAGCCGGTCCTAAGCCCAGAGGCAGGAACTCATTGGCATGATTGAGAAAAGGAATTCATTGGCACGATTGAGAAAAGACAAAGACCTGATGACTACTGAAGGACAGCAGACCTCTGCTTTCTGAAAGATACATTCTAAAGACACCAGGAATGGGGAACCCTTGAAATATGATAGGGACCAGTCAACAAGGTGCTCTAAAAGAGGTACAAACATCATACTGACATTCTTTCAACTCCGCAAAATTCTCCCCTCTTTTTTTTTTTTAGCACAAGTAGTTCCCTCTCCCTGGAATACTCTCTCCTTCCTTTCCTATCCCCGGCTCCTAAAATTTCTCTTAGCTTGGCTATTGATCCTTTAGATTTCAGCCTAACATCTCTTTCATGTAAGTCTTCCCTGACCTCTGCCTGTCTCTCCTAACCTCAAACTTTGGAAGATGCTTCTTCTTTGTACAACTACAGCCCCTCGGACTCTCCTTACCATAGCTCTAGCTATTGTTGTAATTGTTTGTTTAGTTGTCTGTCTTCCCTGATAGACCATGCAGTGGTGAACTCAGGAGTGTTATTTATCCCCATTTTACAGCTGTGGAATCTGAGGCACATTGTAGAGTAATGCCGCATCTATAAAATAGGAATAACAAGACAGACGTTAGAGAGTTGTTGTGAGGACTGAATGAGTTCACACAAATAAGGCACTTAGAACACTCAACCCTCACTAGGTGATGTCATCCTGTCTCCTGACTTTCTTCTGATAATCTTTCCCATGTCAGCAAATGGTAATTGCATTCTTCCCACTGCTTGAACCAAAACCTTTGGAGGCATCCTTAACTCCTCTCTTTCTTTCACACCCTTCATTCAATCCATTAGCAAATCCTTCCTGTCAGCTCTACTCTCAAACAAATGTATACAGAATCCAGCCCCTCTCACCACGACCTCTGCGACCAGCCTGGTCTGGGCCACCGACCCTCTCACCTGCATTATTATAGAAGCCTCCGCACCCGGCTTCCTGCTTGCATCCCTGTTCCTTCAGCCGGTTCTCCACAGTGATCCCATGAAACCCAGGTCAGAGCGAGCTACTCCTCTGCTGAGATCCTTCTAGTGGCCCCTGCCTCAGAGCGAAATCCAAGGCCTTACAATGGCCTCCAAGCCTTGTGACCTGCCTCCAGCTACTTCTTTAATCGCATCTGCTACACTGTCTCCTTGATCACTACTCTCCCACCACACAGGACTCCTGCTGTCTCTTGAACACTTCTGCCTCAGGACCTTTGTGCTTGCTGTACTTCCCCAGATAGCATAGCTGCTCCCTTATTCCTTTCTGCTCAAACCAGCAAGCCTTCCCTTTGGATCACCCTATATAAAACAGTCTCCCCTTCTCTCTGTATCCCCGTACCCTCCCCCCAAACTCTCGAACTCCTTACCCTATTTTATGTGTCTTCATACGTGGTTATCACCATATGGAATATACATTTGTCTATCTCTCTCTCTATATATATACATATACATGTCTATGTGTGTGTTTGTTGTTTATTGTCTTTCCCCACTTGAATGTGAACTCTGAAGGCAGGTGTCTGTTTATTTTGTTCACTGGTATATTCCCAGAGCACAGAACAGAGAGAACATGGCATTTAGTAAGTGCTCAATAAATACTTGTAAATGAATGAAGGACTATTATTATTTGGCACAAAGTAGGTCCACCATAACTACTTGTTGAATGAATGAACAAATGAATGTTCTAGAGAGTCCCAAGAAAGGTGTTGATTAATGGGAGGTTGGGAGAAGAAACTGGAACATGTGTCCACAAACATTTGCTGCACAGGCTGCACGTCCTCTGAATCATGGTTTCCTCTAATCCTTTTTCTTTTTGAGCGTTTTTTATGGTTTGTGGGACTAGTCTTAAGTAGTCCATACGGTGGTTCTTAAACCTCAGTATCATCAGAATTACCCATGGGGATTTTTATTTATTCAGTCTGAGGTGGAGCTCAGGAATTTAAGTATTTTTGAGCAAGAATTTAACCCTGAGTCTCCTCATATGAAAAATGGAAATAATACTTATAATTCTTATAATACCACCCTCAGAGGGTGCAAGGATTAAATAAAATTATCTCTGTGAAATGTCTCACACGGAGTAAATATTAGGTTCCCTTTGCTTCTGCTCATTTTCTCTAAAGTTTAGAGGTTAAATTCTTACAAACAAGTCATATTCCTTGCTCTTTTATAATTTAGGTTTGATTTCATCTTCAGTCCAGATCTCTACTTTGAGTTCCAGATTTATTTTCCAAATATATCCTCAGCATCTTCACTTGGATGTCTCATAGAGACGTCAAAATCAACACATCTAAAGCAACTCAAAATTGTCCCCTTCAGACCTCCTCCTCCAGGTTCCCCATCTCAGGGAATGGGATAACCTCAAGTTAGAAACCTGGGTCATTTTTTGAACACACTTCTTTCCTTCACCTTCCATGTGCAGTCAAAGATCGAGTCCTTACAGTTCTAACCCTGATCTGTTCCTTCGAGCTACCATCTTCTAATCTCCATGGCCTACAAGCTGGCCTTCATACATCCTCTGTTGCTCCCTTCTTATTCATCCTCCACACTGCAGCCAGAAATGTCTTTTACAAATACAAATCTGATCGGGTCCAGATGGACCCTCCCCAAGTCTTCAGTGGCTTCCTTCTTTCTTTAGGATTCAGTCCGAAGTCCTCAGCATGGTCCTCAAGGCTCCTGCCCATCTCTCCTGCAGCACTAGCCCTCTCACTCTCGCCACAGTGGCCTTTCCCAAAGCCTTAACAGGTGGAGCCATTTCCTACCACAGAGCCTTCAAACCTGCAGTTTCCACAGCTTCAGGGCACTCCCCACCCCCTTCTCTTTGTTGCCTGGCCTACTCCTTTTCATTCTTCAAGGCTCAGATTAAATGTCACTTCCTCAAAGAGATCTTTCTTACCCCCTAGAACAGACAGGTCCCTTTGTTACACACTCTCATAACTCCCAGGGTTTTTTCTAGCAATCATCACAACAGTAATTAATACATATCCTCAGTTCCAAGCCCCTTGCTTCACATTTTAAGTTGCCAGCTGTCAGGGAGATGAAGCAGTAATGTGATCATTGTTGCCTGCACACCTTAGGACCTAATTTCTCAGAAGGGGGTAGCTCGTCACTCGATCCCACCTTGAGCTATTTTCAGGGTTGAAATGTAATTTAAATTTGGATTCCAACTCGAATCTTAAAATATTTCAAAAATACACACTACCTTGTGGTATACAGAATGAAGAGCACTGCGTAAAGAGAAGGTTGCCCACCACATGCCAACCAATGAAATTTAGGGCAGTTGAAACCACCAGCTCTCTCAGAAAAAACGATAGCAGAATTTGCAAAGCTGGGAGTGAGTGGCCCCTCCTGTATATACTTTGTGCAGAAATCTTGAAACACTACATGACCCAGAGGAGGAACACTTACCCGGCTGAAACTTTACTTTTGGCAAATTGAAGAGTAGCTAATTACCTTCAACTGATAGGTAATTCTTAAAATGGTAAGAGCAAAAACCACTCGGAAGTGCTGTCAAAACACTGTTTTTCCATATTCCTTGCAATTATGCTTTCATTCCAAATGAAGTTTAGGGGGTGAAGTACACCTGCATGAGCCATTGTAAAAAGCTTTACCACAGATGGCCAAGACTGATACAGAAGCAGCCTTCACCCTGAAGGTGAAAGTCAAAATGCCATTTGATTGCAAAGCAGAAAAAAACCCAACTGGATAAAGGTATGCTCTAGTGTCCTTTAGTACCTGAAACGCTGCTACTAAATTAGTGGTGTGACTTACGAGTTGTTGGAAGCTTTGGTTTGAGGAAAAGAATGTCATTAGCTGTGTAATTTTCAAAATGACAGTCTCTCTCTCTCTGCCTGAGGACTGACACTTTGTTTCGTTCACTGGAATACCCCCACCCGTACCGCCGGGGCGTAGCCCCTCACCTGAATCATATACACAAGGGGCTCAATAAATAGTTGTTAAATAAAATAAATGAGTTCTCAGTTTTTCATTGCAAACTTTGGCTCACTTTTACCTAGGTTTAAAAACAAGTGTGGGCAAACTTGAAAAGTCTGGCATTCCACCCACCTCCACAGCGCCCTTGCACTTTGCTTCCACACCTGTCTCCCGCTGGGAGGGTGCTAGGGGCCGCCCTAAATCGCATCCCCTTAGCGGTCCACCCCCTTCTCTCCGACCTCGGCTCACGCACGGCCCATTCTGCAACGCTCTGCGGAAAGGGATGCACAGAGTTGCATGTGCCTTGGTTTTAATTCCAGTCTGCGAGAAGGAAAAACGAACCCAGCCAACGGAAGTCCCCTTGGTCTGAGAACAGAAATCATGAGTCATAGATTTCGGGGTTCGGACCTAGGAGCGGTCGGTGATGCAGCTGTGCGTGGGTCGGTGGGGATGGCGTGGGCTGCCGAAAAGAGGCCACAGCCCTTCTCTCTTGGGTACGTCCCCCTCAAATTGCCCCCCTTCCCCTCCTCCAGCCGGTTCTCGGTCCGCGTCTTCTAGCGTGCCGCCAAGGGTCCGGGAGGGGCGGCGCTCCAGGTCGCCGCCCCCGCGGCCACATCACCAGGCGTTCGTGTCCCTCGGGCGGCGGCGCGGCTGCGCCTGCGCGGAGCGGCCGCG